AGATAATATTTAAAATATACTTGTATTAAAATGAAATGAAATGTTTTGTATATCTGGTAGAAAGATATTATGAAAACACATGGAGGTAATATTATATAAATATTATAAGGATAATATTCTAAAGTATACGTTCTGCAAATATTTCAAATGTTTGCTAAATATTAACAAAATGTACGATATTCGTTAAATATATAGAAAATATAGGACAAGTATTTTGTGCTACTAGGGAAGAAATTGGACAAATTAGTTGAGAAAATAAGCTCAATGATTATTGGTCTTGACACATCTTGTTACCAGGATGTCGGCTAAAAATCTATGTTAAATCATTTGAGGAAACGGGACGTTAACTAACGTTGGCGGAAAGGGATAAGTCGAATAAGTTGAAAAAAAAATTGGGTTAGGGAATAAAATACGGATAGGGTGTCGTAGATACAAAAATGGACAGCTTCCGGAAGCCAGTAGCGGTCTGACTTTGTCTCGTTATTTATTATTGCATTTCACTTCTAATCAGAGGTGTAATGCTGTATGTAATGGTAAATCATTACATATAGTTACTAATTTAATCCGCTACCCACTTCGCGGTCAGCCAAGGAGAATTTTATGAACTCCCGACTAGCGTTGTCTGAACGTAAAGAGTTAAACCTCCTGCCAGACTCCGGGAACATAATATTCCTACTTTTTACTTTGTTATTTCTGTCAGGCTACTTGTACAACCTTTTCTTTGCTGCCTTTACCATCATCCAGAGTCTACGGAACATTTTTGGTCATGTCTCGGTCATTGTACTTTGCCGTGAACTGTATTGGCGATAATTCAAACGTGGTGAAACCGATACCCTTCCTAACAAGGGTACAAGTTGTAAGTGGATAATTTGTTCATAACCAAGCGTACTTACTAATTCTAGTACGATTAATTTCTGAAACACATTTTAAAAAGAATCGCACCATTCATATTTTTCCGGCAACAATCCCTTTCCCTCCGAATCTACTTTCAATCTAACGAAAACAAGTTTGCGGCAAAGCGGTATAAGGTCTACTTCCTTTAGCTTTTCATATCGTATCTGCGTATTAATTTAATTCAATTTTAAAACCTCATTTATCTGTGCCTGCTCGATAAAAGTTTCTCTCCAAACCGTTTACACCTTGAAATAAATCCTTTCACTTGATACATATTATAGATGCAGGGGATTTCCGGAATACGAGTGCAATTAAGTGCAGGGCTCAGTTTTTTATGTTTCCCAATGCCGGCTTATTTTTCGAAGTACCAATTTCAAATCGGATTCTTCTATAAGACTTTGATGGACATTTTTCGCGAAGTAGATTGAAAATCTTAAAACAGATCTGTTTTACTCAAAATACAAGGAATTTTGTATTTAACGTTTTATTCCTCTATAATGCTACTTCTATATTTCAAATCTTATTTCTCTGCACAGCAAATTGTTTAATTAGTCTTATGACATATTTTTAACGCGTTAACTTTAAATTTTGTTTCTCTATAAAGTGTTGCTGGAAATTGTATGCCAAATCATGGAATGGATCAGTTCACTCAGAATACAAATTATGTGCAATAAATTTGTATATGTCAAGCCTTATGCCTGAATAATTCTATTTTTGTATTACAAATCATATTCCTTTGCGTGGCATATTAGTTTAACTCATTTTATAACGTATTCTTGACATAACAATTTCAAATCTTGTTCCTTTATAAAACATTACTGAGACTTTTACGCAAAATTAATTAAACGTATCTGTCCTCTCGGATTACAAATTATGTGCAGTTAATCTATATATTTCAAGTCTTATTCCTCAATAATTCTACAAGTCGTATTCCTTTGCGTGGCATATTAGTTTAATTCATTTTTGACGTAACAATTTCAAATCTTATTTCTTTATAAAGTATTGCAAAATTAATAAAACAGATCTGTCCCCTCGGAAAGCAAATTATGTGCAGTAAATTTGCATATTTCAAGTCTTATTCCTCAATAATTCTACAAATCGTATTCCTTTGCGTGACATATTAATTTAATTCATTTTATAACGTATCGTAACGCAATTCGTTTTTCACGTAACAATTTCAAATCTTATTCCTTTATAAAGCATTGCGAAATTAATAAAACAGATCTCTTCCCTCGGAATACAAATTATGTGCAGTAAATTTGCATATTTCAAGTCTTATTCCTCATTAAATCTACAAGTCGTATTCCTTTGCGTGACATATTAGTTTAATTCATTTTCGACGTAACAATTTCAAATCTTATTCCTTTATAAAGCATTGCGAAATTAATGAAATGGATCTGTCCCCTCGGAATGCAAATGATGTGCAGTAAATTTGCATATTTCAAGTCTTATTCCTCATTAAATCTATAAGTCGTATTCCTTTGCGTGACTTATTAATTTAATTCATTATATATCGTATCGTAACGCAATTCGTTTTTCACGTAACAATTCCAAATCTTATTCCTTTATAAAGAATTGCTGGGACTTTTATGCGAAGTAGATCGAACGTCCTGAAATGGATCTGTCCATTCAGGATGCAAATTATGGACAGGGAATTTTTCTAGGATCGAGCCAAGGCGCAGTTAGGTGCATCGGTGAGGCATGAGAGGCGTTAAAAATATTTGCGGACAGGCTGGAGGTTTTGCGGTAATGTTGCGTCTTACGTAAGCCGAGCGTCTTGTGCCGTTAGAGACATGTCCACGTAGGTATATACATGCGAGCCCACTTTCTCCATATGGTTTCACGATAAATTCCGCTCGCCGGTAAGATTTCATTTCTAAACGATCGCACTCATTCGTCGTCGATCTTATCGACAACTTTCCTCGATCTGCCTTTCATCGGTCATTCTTACAGGTACAAAAAAGAAAAAAATTAAAAGAAAACTGACAAGACGTTTCAAAGTCGGCGCTCCATTCATAATTTCCGTAATAATTTCGTGTCTAATTCCCAGTGAATTTATGGAGAGAAAAAAAAATTATTGTTTAGATAATATGTCACCTGTGCCGACGAGTACGCGTGAAAGTGAGAAGTTTCATTACGGGAAAGTAAAGAATATAAGTTATATACACACCTTAAAAAGAGAAGGCGGTCAGGTTAACTTCTTACCACGGTTTATATTTCTTAAGTGTGTAAATTGTTTTCTCCTGAATCGTACCCCAAAATGTAGGAAATCTACTGCAGTTACTTATTCGCATAAATTAAAGGATAATCGTGTACTGAGTGTGTTGGTCCCCGGTCTTAGAAAATAAGCAACTCTTTGTTACATACATGTTAGAGAAGGTTTACATAAATTGCAGGATATATATTATCTCGAATGAGGGAGAATCTTTCTTCTATGATGTCTTTAATATCCCCTGTTTGTAATACTTTGCGGAAAACTTTTCCAGGAAACACTTTACATTTGAATCATCATAAATGCCCCTTTTCGCAATGGGGGATGTTTAATTCGATATGACTCAATTTAAATTTGATATAATCATAAAATGTATTGTGAATTTTCTTGAGCAGCTTTTAGTATTGGTCAAGGGAAATAATAAGGTGTGGAATACCGAATGTCGATGAGAGACTTTTCCAGTGATCTCTAAACCGGAAGTCCCGTTGAATCGAGACGGATCAAGTGCCTTCCGTGACTAGACAGCCTGATGATTATGCATCCGTGAATCATGCTACTTCCGGTTCGCCAAACGGAGGTCTTGTCCGCATTTACGTCTCTTGCTTGATCGTTTATCATCGGACATTGCGTGTAGGCGCGTAACTTTGTCTGATGGCACTTTCCAAACTTGTCCCGGCTGGAATTGTCGCAAGATGTATAATAATGGAATCGAAAAATATCCCCGTGGTGAAAACGAAAACACGTTTTAACCCAATCTTCGACTTAAGGTGAAGTAAAACACGTCGCGGAACTTGATCGACTTTGATAAAGAAGATTTTTCTAAATGCCTACGTTGCCGACGTTCGTTTTTATATTGACAGCTGTGTCGAATTATATTGGATATTGTACCAAATGACATACTCCACCTGTCGTTTTCGTATAATAAATATCAAGAAATCGAAGTAAAACTCCAGCAATCCTCTGGATTCATGCTTTCTGGGGCCCTAATTAACTGCAGAGGAACACCCTGCGCCATCTGTGATTTCCAGGTCAATTAAATTTTCACTGCGAGACCTCGTACTCCCATCGTTTTAGCATAGAAGCGCATACAACACTTTTTTTGCCTTTATCCCGTCCAAATGCGAGTTTATCGTTTACCAGAGTGTTCTAAATTGTCGTAAAATTGTCCAAACCCTTTCGTTTCTCATATCAGAGCCTTCGATTATTGTATATTGATCTAAATGTAAGAGCTCGAGGCCATTTTGGTTCTGGTCTGGGCTGAGTTACAAAATTTTTTCCAAAAATCCAAATTTTGAATGGACCAGGACAATTCTTAGATGATCAGGAATGATGTGTCAAAGTTTCGGACAGTTTGGTCTAATACCCTGAATAAAATTTGTTGTATTCGAATCGACTGATTTGAAGTGGTTTTCACTTCACCTTAACGCACTTGTTTTCCCCCTCCAAGCCTGCGGACCCCCTTCTGAGCACTTTTCCCTAAACCGACTTATAATATTTATATCTTGCCATCATTTAAACTGTTTTAAAAGTTGCTAGTCTAAACGGTTCACCCGATGAATTCGAAGTACCCTTTCTTTAAAAGAAAGATCTATAAAAAGTATCTTGGTGTTTCAGAAGTTAAACCTTTTTGATCAAATCTGCGAATGATTTTTGCGATTCTAACGTATAATATTTTATTCATTAGATTATTTATGAATGAAGGGCAGTATTATACAGTTCACCCGATGAAATCGAAGTACCCTTTCTTTAAAAGAAAGATCTGCAAAAGGTATCTCGGAGTTTCAGAGATCAATCCTTTTTTATTAAATCTGCGAATGATTTTTGCGAATCTAACGAATAATATTTTATTCATTAGATTATTTATGAATGAAGGGCAGTCTTATTTTCGGTATCAATGGACGTTGCCGATGACACCAGCGTACCGGAAATAACGGACCACCATGACATCGAGAGGTAACGTTATTTCCGGTCACCAAAGAAAGAAAAGGACGTGTCCTGGAGGTCGGATTAAAGGGAGGAAATAAATTCGGAAAAATACTTGAAACGAGGGAAAATTGCATTAGCATCGCTTCGAGGAAAACTCCAGACATTATGGAAGGTCAGGATCGTGATCGATCGGATTGATATCGTCTTTAAATCACGTGCAATGCGAGCGACATTTTCCGAAGGACTCGGACACCTCATTTATTCCACAAGTTGCTGTCCTTCGGGTGAAAAGGAAAGTGAATACCGGAGACATGTGCAGGAGAGTCGCGGCCTTCTTTACGTCGGAGAAAATTTATTGATGGGCGATCGACATTCCTTTTCCGTATACAGGGGGTGTAAAAAAACGAAGGTTGGTCGAATGACATTGAGCGCCAATCAATTTTATATTTCTATACTTCTTGATGAGGCTCCAACTATATATAAATTAAATACAAAATAATTTGTTAATCATGAAGCACGATAATAAAGATAAATGCATCAACCCTAGACATTAATTAATATTTTCCAAGGATATTTGAAATAGCTTTCGATCGAAAATAATGCAAGAGTAAGCGTTTGATATTCCTGAATTTTTTATCATTCGAAGGTAAAATATAAGTTTATTATTCTTCTGTATAACAAACGAGGGTCTATTAAGGGGATGTGAAAGTGGCATCCGAAAGCTCAATCGTTCATAAAACTTTTCATAGAACTGGGGGTCTCAAATCGTTTCATACTTTAAAACGTGAATATGGAGGCCCTAAGGTAGGTCCTGAAGCTCACGAAATTTCATTTTTTATCAACTATTTTTAAAATACCTATAAACAAATTTAAAACGTATTGAAATTTCATGAGTTTCAGGACCTTCCTTATAGTCTCCCTATTCACGTTGTAACGTTTCAAACTATTCGGTAAACCGAGTTGGGAGAAAAGTTTTATAAACAAAACCTCTTCGACACCACTTTCACATCACCTTAAAAATTTATTTTAGGGGGTTTAAAAGTCTTATCAAGACGAATTTAAATACAAAAAGCTTTTGTCTTTTAAATTGCTATACACAGGATGTCGTTTAAGTAAAATATCTGACCGCGGATGATTTCTGCCATGTTTCTCTACAAAATATCCTATTTTTCTCGTCGCGACAAAGAAGTTAGGGATCACGTAATGAGAAAGTCGGCGTTACGGCCGGTTTTATCATTACGGCTTTTTAATGCCTGTGATGAGTGCCTTTATAATGCCGTCTTTACGGGCTCCCCTTGAGAAACTCTAGTTACGGAAGTTCATGTGTGAATAACTTATAAGTCGTTATGCTCGGACATTTCATAACGCAACTGTTTAAGGAAAAACCGAAAGTAACGGCGGTGGCTAAAAGTTAGCATTCCTTTTTAACAATAATCGATCTTAGGCAATGCTTCTGTGCACTAAAGACATATGTGCCCATAATTATGAAAGTGGTCTAAGTCAAAATTGAAAAAAAAAAATGAGTTTATCAGTTATTTCACGCCACATTATTTCAAACTAAATTAATTCAATGTAATTTCGAAACAAAAAATATATGACTTAGACCACTTTCATAATTATGGGCACATATGCAGACTACATTTACCGAACTCCTCTTGGTCGATTAAAATTTCAGTGTCCAGTTATTTCATTCATATTAATATGTTAAATTCCTCTTTTCTGTTATCAGATTATGCTGCGTAATCGCAAACGTGTCTTGCGAAAAGGAGACCGGAGGAAAGTCAAAATCTGGTCTGGAATCCCTTGAAAAGTTCGTCGCCAAAAAGCCAACTCCGTTCCAAGCAAAAGTCACGCCGATAAGAGGTACTGATTTTTCGGACGTCTAAATTAATTATTATATATCTAAATTAATATATCTAAATAAATTTCAGACTTCGTTACGTCTCATAAAATCCCCGAGGAGCTTCCGAAGCCTGTAGAGGATGACGAGTACGAGTTAGATGACGATTCGTCTTATGCGATTGTCGAGCATAACGAGTCGAGAAACGTAGGAACCAGCCGGAAAAATGTCGAACAATTTTCCGACGAAATCCTGGAAGAAAAGTCCACTAGAAAACAAGCTCGAGTGCAATTGGAGAACTTCAGTGACACTGGAGTCTTGCATGAAGATGGTGTCAGAAAAAGCGACAATTATAAGACTCAAAGTGATCCTCAGAGGGATTCCCTCATCTCAGGTGTCCAAATCAGGTATTGTTTCCTAACATTTATATTTAAAAATTACGTCCCTTATTCCTTTATATTTATTAGAAATTTCGGGAAAACATATTCAATTGAAACTTATCATTAAACGTTATATGGAGGAAGGAAAACCTTTTAGAGTACAACAGATTTTCTTACTACAGCAAAAATTGTCTGATGTCAATGAAAGTGATTTTAACACAACGGAATATGAATTGTAGTTCATTGACGAAAAGTACTTTATATGTTCCTGAAGGGTAGATTGCAATGTATGCATCTTTTTTAACATAATTTCATTCTCTTTTCTTATTTCAGTTCCGAGTATCCAACAACAATGATGCCAGTTCTCACGACATCTCGAGATGTTCGATCCTTCGATTTCATCCCTGTAAACATAATTCGGGAAGACAGTAAGGACTCTTACACTCCTTACTCCGAAAGACACTTTGGGGACCTAAGTGATGTCAGTTTGGTACCAGCTGGTACCAGTTCTCGAATCCAGGTACGTCGCAAATTTCTATTCTTCATTTTCTTCATTCACAATATTCTCATTCTCGAACTTCAAAGTACTCTCCAGGGTTTTTCTTCTTTTTTCTAATTTTTCCGACATTTCCTTGTTTCGTTAACCAGGTGAAGAAAGGACCCAATGGTAAGGACTACGAGTACGAATACGTGTACTATTACTATGACGAAGAGGAAGATAGCAAGAGCGATGGTACCGTTTCAAACCCCCACGATGGACAAATCAGAACAACGGCCCCTCCGAAAAGAGGTTCCCCAAGTTCCCGAAATAAATACAATTCCATCGAAAGATCAACCACCGTCGAACCCGTCAGCAATGAAGTCATTCCTAACAGAAATGGAAATAGAGGAAGACAGCTCGCCGAAGCTGAAGACATCTCCGAAGAACGCCTTCCGACTAACACTAGATTCCCACCCAGGTACTAAGCAGTAATAAAAATGATTAAACATCGGTACAGTCACCAAAATATGTAAACAATAATAAGGATAAATGTTAGTTAAACTACTGAACTAAAAATACATATTTAGTTACGTTTAAAAGTAGTAACAGTGCTAGGACAAATTACAATATCCTGACAAAAATTCCAGATATGCGTTTTGAATATCTTAATTCCAATTTTTTATGCGCAAGTATCTATCTCCATAAAGATGTTTCTTTATCTTCTTTAATCGTATTTTGATCGTACGTTATTCAACAGTTATTTTATCATGTACTGTCAAAAGGTAGAACTGAGAAGGTTACCGTCCAAACATTTTTGACACCCCCATTGATGAGATTTTTATAGTCATCTTTTTTTATGATAACTTTTTAGCCGATCAATTTGATTTTGAATGATATTTATTTAATATTCAGACACTGATTCAATGATTTTCAGGTCTAGGTCGAATCACAATACCGGGACCACGGAGCCCAGTCGAGCTCGAGGAAACAGACCAAGACCCAGTTTGGACCTCGTAGACTCGAGCAGCTTCCGGACCCATCAGGAGGGTCCAGAATTCCCCCAAAACCTGCCAAAAGGGCCCGTAAGATTTCTAGGAGTGACTCCTAATGAAGATAGCGATGAAAAACCACTCACACGGGTTCGTGGAAGGCCTCAAAGAATCCAGGAGCTTGCCCCTGTAGAGGAGGTTGCCGAAGGACCAGCACCGGTCCTCAGAAGACGTCCCGTCGTTCCAGACCCAGAGGTAACAGATTATTCATCTTATAAGAAATCACATGATATTTAATTTAATATCCAACTAGAGTGTACCCGAGTAATTATTTACCTTACACGATACATTATGTCAGTGAACAATAATCCTCTAATTCGACCCTCTCCTATCAGCAATTGAGGTAGCTAATATCCCCGTTATCATGGGAAGGAATAACGCGTTCCAAAATAAGATTTGCAAATCTAATTGTTAATTATAAAGTTATAATCTACAATGGGAAAGATTTAACGTTTCCTGGAGTATGACAAATAAATGAGTATCCGCCGTATCTTTCAGGTCGAAGTTGAGCTGAACAGGGGTCAGCCATCTCGTCCGGTCGTGGAGAACGTCGAGGAGGAGGAAGTGGGCACTTCGGATGCACCTCTTTCTTCCCAGAGTTCAACCATTTCCGGACAGATTTCGGAAAAGGGAAATCAGAAGCAGAGTCCATCGCAGGACCAGGACTCCGAGTCCTTAGAAGGCAGCACTACGACCGAAATTCCCACCACCGAGTATCCTTCGGCGATGGACAAGGTGGCTTTGGACCTGTACGCCTTCCTTCAGCAAGGCCAAAGCAATCTCGTCGACTCGAGTAATTCCGACAATTATTCCGGCGAGAGTACCACGGTATCCGAGGACGATGCAACCACCGATGCACTTTCGACCACGGAATTAGTAACCACAACGTCAGCCGAATTTGTGACAACGACTACGACTCCTACCACGACCACGACCACGGAACCAACGACAACCACCACCACAACCACGGAGCCAACCACCACGACCAGTGCCCCACTTCCTGCTGGACGTGGGAAGTTCCGGAGACCTGGAATCGGCGCTCCTGGTACCAGAAATCGGTAAAAGACCATTAAATAACTTAAATTCATGCTAAGCCAATAATTAACACCTTTTAGCAACATTGATCTACTAATCTTCGATCACTACTTGCCTACGCGCAGGAAAAGATTTGCTTTATTTAACGAAATCGTTTGCATTTCAAAAACCGTTTTCGTTGAATGAACCGAATTCTGGTCCACTTGACCAAACTCATTTACTTCTATCAACTAAAGTGTTTTGGATAAATCGCTTTGATAATTTTAAAAAATACTTTAGTGAATAAACCAAATGTTTTAGGTGCGCGTACGAAATTATCCTGATAATTATCAGGGGGTGCTCTGCCGCAATGTATGACTTCCAAAAATGATTGACCAAAGAATTTTGTCATGTCATCTAAATATGTGGCCGTATAATGGCCGTATTTTGTGGTCAAACCAACGCAAATATTATTTCTTTAAGAAAAAGGAATATTTTTCGGTCTATATCAGTGGTTGCTCGAGACGTTCGTATTGATTCACTCTAAATTAACTACAGCCATCTTCATCTGCTTTTTTCCGTCTGTGCGGTTCACAGTGTAACTCTTACACCTCATTGTATCGTCCCGCATTGTATTTATGAATTGTTTCAATTAAGTAATCTCGAATCTTTGTTCAGTTTCAAGTCAAACGGTGGAAGCACGACCAGCACCGAGGCGTCTGCGGAGCCAACCCAAAGAACCCGAGGAAGGTTTGGCTCTAACGGAAATGGAGGCTACAAGAGACCAAGACCCGGACAAAAGCCGGTGGAAGAAGACATCCAAAAAGATTCATCCAGTTCCGTGAACTCGGAGAAATCTGCGCCAGGGCGCAACAGGTTCCGTGGCACCGGGACCAGGAACGCGATCAGCACCACTCCGGCTTCGGCCACGATTTCCGGATCTTCCCAGACGGGAACCTCTAGTCCTGCTCGGCCAAGCTTCAACAAAATCAACTTGAATCGCAGAAGAGGTCGACCAACCACGACCTCGCCCACGACTAGTGAGGAAACCAGAGAGAACCCTGAAAATGGACACACCGATGCCCACGAGGTGACAACCTCCAAGCCAAGCACGAAACCTCGACTTCCCGGTACCGGAACCAGACCCATCAGGCCTGGTGCCAGGATTGGTCTGAGACCAAGACCTGGACAAGCCACCAGCACCACGACCGTTCAACCGGAAGTCTCGGAAGCACCTGTCGAGGAACCTGCCGGAGAGGGAACCGAAGAGGAGACCCATGAGGTAGTTAATCTGCTATTCTACTAAAATTCTGTCGTCCCGCTTCTAACAATTATTACACCTCGTTCCACCAATCTCAATTGAATCATTGATTACCTAGCCGTAGGTTAAAGTTAACGTCTAACAACTTCCAATGTCTACATACGTCTATACGTTTTAGAAAATCCCTGGGGGAATTACGTTTGTAGACGTTAGTCTACGACCAAAGAAACGAAAATACTAACGTTTAACTTGTAAGTTAATCACGGGATAAAAACGTAGTGTTCCACCGCATTTATTTAAAGGGTTATTAACTAATCGTATACATTATTTGAAGTATGCTGAATTGTCGGTGAACGGTTTCGCGTGATTGTCTGATACTCCGACTGATTAGAAAGGATAGAAGATGCGCCCTTATCAAGACACGAAGTCCCCCTAGCTTCATGCAAGAACTTATTTGACAGACCCTAGCCTCAAGAAGTAAAATTCTTTGGTTAGGAATTAATATAAAATATTTTCAAGCGTACATCGATTATTAAGAAATTGTTAATAGAATGAGATACATCTTCATCCGTTTCGACATAAGATGTTAATTCATACTCAATGTAATCCATATTTTCCTCACGTTTGTGGCATCTTTAAGTTGAAGTTCAATTAACTGAAGCTAAACAATCGAATTTGACTGGTTAATCTAAACGGCGATTAATGGAAATTAAACCGCCGTTAAAATGTGGGGGATCGTGCAACTCGTAACCGAGGATTAGCTTTCTAACCGAGGTTGGTGGAACCGGGCATTAGAGATTACGCGAAAAAAAGAATTAACTCGGCCTTAACTTCGGTGATTACCTATTCTTCAAAGATAAAAACACCGCATCATTTAGCATTGAATTAAGGTTGACAGGTAAAATTGTTGTTTAATTTTTTTTAGAGAATTTGAATAGTATGCTCGCAATGTAGGACAGAGTTCAGTTATACCGATATCATTCCATTAACGTAGGTGGGAAGAAATTACACCTGCATTGAATAAAAGTACAATAGGCTCATAACCCAAACACGTCTTCGATACATATTACGGTACTTGGTCAGCTAAAATTCGAATCATGTACGTTTTCCGTTATTTTTGTCACCAACGTGACTAAATTGTACCGTTAAAGGTGCCACACATTTTGTCACTAATTTTTGGTCATTTTCTTACAAACCGCGATCCTATAACCAGCTTTTCTAATACAGTCGGTAATGTTATTTCGCGTGATTAATTTAGATATAACAAATTGAGAAATATATGAGGAAACTAGTTCGAACGTTCCATTTTAAAGGTGAAGTGAAATCCCCTTCAAATCAGTCGATTCGAATACAACACTTTTTTTTTTTTAGAGGTATTAGACCAAATTGTCCGAAACTTTGACACATCACTCCTGATCATTTAAGAATTGTCCTGACACATTCAAAATTTTGATTTATGGAAAACATTTTTTAACTTAACCTTGACCAGAATCAAAATGGCGTCGAGCTCTCATATTTCGATCAATATACAATTATCGAAAGCTCTGATACGTGAAACGAAAGGGTCAGGACAATTTTACAACAATTTAGAACACTCTGGTAATCGATAAACCCGCATTTGAACGGGATAAAGGTAAAAAAAAGTATTGTATGCGCTTCTATGCTAAAACTAACGAACGTCGGCGACATAGGCATTTAGAAAAATCTTTTTTATCGACGTCGATCAAGTTCCTCGACGTGTTTCACTTGACCTTAAGATGGAAAAGAAAGGATCGATCATTGGCCCAATTCGCCCTGGAATGTGAACTTTGAACGCCGATTAGGAGTTCGGGGTACAAAAGAGTTCCGTTCCTCGAAGGTGAACCACCTTCTCGAATCCTGAACGGTCCGGCGACATTTTTAAGGCGAGATTAAGTACGAGGACGAATGACGTCACTTGCGATCTTCTCGCAGTCACTTTCACTGGGTGGCCTTTCAAAATGTCACTGCAAACGGCCGTCGGGTTTTCGCTCTTTTACGCGAGAGTAAGTTAGCCCAAATTCAATCTATCGTTTGTTTCACGATAATCGTTCTTTACGCCATAGCAAGAATGCCGGCAAAATCAATTATAGCAAAGACTTCCTCTAACCCTTTGACTACTAAGAGCGCCTAAAGGCGCCCTACGTTTGGTCCAATATTGCCTGCACGGTCAGACGAATTTCGCCTATATGTCGAAATGGCTCCCTGTTCAAAGGTTTAAAGATATCTAACCGCAAGAAGTTATCTTATCCTTTTTCCTTTTATGTATAATTCCTTAACATTCAATAATTAAATAAAATAACCCCGGAATATCCCTAGCCACGAAAAACCAGCAAAAGTAAAAGCACGAAATATTTTATATCTTACAATAGCTTATAAGAAAGTAATTATTAAATCTTCTTACGACTTGAAATGACGCTAATCAAAGTCATCTATTCTTTTATTTTGATAATTATAATTTCTTGCTAATCTTTCACTAAATACTAAGAAACCATTTCACAGTGCATGATTTCCTGTAGTTCTATACTTTTTACTACTGATTATATTTATTAACTTTTTACTACATGATTAAGCCAAGAACACGAATCCTGCTACATCCTACCTAACTAAACGAAGTTACACCGATAGCGGGACATTTGCACCTTTAACAAAGTACTGCATTACTAATAAAGTTCTGCTTTTACTGCAGCAATAATTGCACCAATAGCAAAAATATTTGCAATTTTACCGAGCACGGATATAATCACGGTAGAGCTTCATTTAGAAGGAATGCTTGCTAAAGTAGCAAATAAATTTGTTGAAACAGCGGGAAAGCTATCGTTGTGCTACTCGATATGCAATTCGTTATCGCGAGTAAAGAAAGAATATTGCACCTTTGAATAAACTTTTTGGCACTTTTGTTGCCCTGGTAAAGTGATACTCGTTTTTTTTTTACCTGTTGCACATAGAACGAATAAAATTCTAAACAAGAATTGTTGCCGAGCGATTTTCAAGTGTTCATATTTCTTGTTACGACTGTGTATGTGTTTTTCCGCGCGTGCCGATAGATAAACAGTAATTTTGTTTGTTTAAATTCCAGGCCCCTGCGGAGACCAGTCCACCAGCTAAGGTGACCACGGTGAACCCTTTGAACAAGCTGCGAAACCGAAATCGTCTTCAGGTTCAGCCTAAGAGCACGACGCGTTCTCCGATTTCCCTTACCCCGAGGAGATCACCGTTGTTGCCTCGAAGGAAGACAACCGAGGCTCCTGCTCCCACGGAAGCCGACCACGAAGAGGAGCCGAGCTCGGAGGTCTCCGAAGAAACGGAAGCCACGGAAGCCTCGTTACCGGAAACGAGTACCGCAGCCAGCACCAGGCACGAGGAGACCAGAGGTCTCAGCGGGCTTCTGGCTCCTAGACGCAGGATAGCACCGAGACGTCCTGGACAGATCATTTCCAGGGTATAGGTTTAATCGCTGCCCGGTTTTCCGGCACTTCCGGTACGTCCTGGAGGAATCGACCAGCTCGGAAGTGCCGAACTGCCCCCAGGGGAATGCTGCGAAGCGACAAGGACCTGCCTTGATGTCCTTTCGAGGATAAGCTGATGAAAAAGTGCTGGGCACGTCACTGGGGACATCGATGCTTTGTCTTTGAAAGCGGGAGTTTATGAAATTTCACTGTTTGACCGGGGGAAAGGATACCGTTTTGCTCACGAAGTATGGTGATATACAACGCCATGTATTGAAATGGTCCCCACTTTGGGGGCCCAGGATTTTCCGATTTTCTCCGATGTAGGGCCGAGAGCGCACTTTCTCAATGAAATTTTACAATTAAAAGTTATCGTTCGCTAGTGTAATTGCGTTTAAAACATCACATTATGCATATCATGCGCGGATTATCGTTTCACTTTGCGTATATCGATTATATTCGAGGGTGAAAAATTATAGTAGCATAAAATACAACGCCGCTCGAATTATCTCGAGTGTGCACAGTTTGGCCTGTTTAGCGCGCTCGAATTAACTCGAGCGCACAAGTTAAGAGGTTAATTGCAAAATTAAAAGTATCTTAGGTAATTTACATCGGTAGGAAACGTTTTGTTCATGTAGGATTAGAGTTCCCTCATTTTCCGTAATTAGTGCTCACATCGTTAGATCAGCGATAATCTGAGATCCTGGGTCCCGATTATGTGGTTACTTTCTGTGAAACCGACCATTCATGTCTCCTTATACTACTTCATTGTTTTACTTAATGAAGGTGGTTGTAAAGGATTTCTAAAAATTGTGGAATCTTTTTGGAAAATTGATTCTTCGAGTGCATGATTCAATTGTGCTTTTTTACTTCTCAGGGCCAGTTGCACCAACCAAGTGATTAGAGTGTAAATTCCTTAACTGCTTTAGAAAATTTTGGATTAATGAAATTCGTGTTGCACCGGTAAAAATTACGCTACTCGAAGTTTAAAATCCGCGGAATAATTACCTGAAGTGGGGTGATTAACTTTAATCAGACGTTAATTCATTCTTCATTCAGAATATAAATACATTAGACCCTCGGAATATCAATCAATGCACCTGAGCATTTTTTTTTACTTTGGGTCTATTTGAAAGTATCCGAGTTGATAAGGCACTAATTTTACAACTCATTAACCAACATTTTGTGGAATTAAAAGAGTGTGGTAGTAATTGGTCCATCCCCGTTTAGACATCAAGGCAAGTTTTTATATCGCAAAGATAGTTCGGAAAAAATTAAATTCGCAATAGGAGTACGAAAGGAAAACACTCTCGTGAGGAATATTCAAAAGACCTTGATTTTGGCTAATATGCCATTTCCATAAATACTCAATGTACCGAAAGTTTAAAGTCGAGATATTTTCCGTCGGTGCCGAAAAATCGAAGGGCGATTTTAGGCGAAATGGGCCGCCCACTTTCTCGTTTTTTTTTTTCTGTTCTATTATTTTGGAAAGCTTGGTACATCCTTTGCAAGCGGAAAGCTAGTCTCCGCCTGGATGCACTTCCTAATATTCTGCGAGTGCCATTCGAGTGCCAGCGTGGAATAGTCGTTCTTTTTTCTCGAAAAAAAGAAAAAAAAGATGAAAAGATGAAGCAAGAAAGGAAAAAAACAAAAAGGAATTGTGCTATCCTCAACGATTAGTACACGTACACTGAAGCCCGTGACGATCAAACGAGCAAAGGTCGCTCTATTTATGCGATCGAAGGTTGTGAATGAATAAAACTATAATGTACGAGAATAAAAGAGAGAGAGAGAGAGAGAGAGAGGGAGAGAAAGGGAAGTTTGAATGGTGCGTGAATGTAAATAACGTTACTCGTTCGATTAGCGTCCTGCGTCGAAATTTCTCAGCGCGTGAGATTTAATCGGAGATTAAATCGAGGATTATAACCATTAACCGGGCAGTCTCGTTTCTCGCGGGAGATGACTGCCGACGGTCACGGTCACAAGTGGTAACGATAACGACTATTAGATATATATTTAATTCGACTCGACTTGCGCGATCACTTTTATTTAATGAATAAACAAAGTACGGTCTTACTACACTCGCCAGAGATTGGACCGCGCAGGTTCATTTATACAGCAAGAACGACGCGGCGATGCTGAAGTTTCACTGTTACACTATTTTTGTATGACATAGTGCCCCGATTTACTTGTAAATATTTCAATTAAACATCTGTAAAACTATAGTTCGGTTTTTATTTCTTCCTTCCAGGTGAGCCTCGATGCAAAATGGCATTTAGAGCGTTCCCATGAAAGCTTGATTTCCTGTCTTCTTAGATAATCACTTACGCTTTCCTAGATATTTGCATCTATAT